ACAAGATATTAAATTGTTCTAATTGATATACGAACAAAAAAATTTATAGTATAACAATTATCGATTTATTATTAGAAATACTACGTCAAGGGTGTACATTTACAATCTAAGGTAATGCTTATAAAATAATAGAAAATTGTTCGAACCTATGCAATACATATAAAAAAGTTACAGTAACGTCCTTTTACGCTGAAGCATATAATGTGTATAACATGAAATAAGTTAACACATTACTTCCAATTTTGGATTATCTGCTAATTCTTATGTAATTAGCATCAGTATAAATTTGTAAGATACGAATGTTATAATTCATATTACAAGAAAGCAGCAGTGTGAAAAAAGATAGTTCATGTCATAAACAAATGGCCATAGTATATACTTACTTTTATACAAATATCGTAAGTGTTAGTACTCTAAGTCTAGTACTGCTTTCAGAATCAAACATTTTGGACATGTAAATGTTCAGAAACAGGTTTGGAGCAGTACCAGAAACATATTCACAAATTTTTTGAAAAGTTTATTTATCCTAAGTGATATACAAAACAACCATCTCTTTTATAACTGTTATAATTCCCCTATAATAATACAGAAAATTCTGTCGTAATTTTCAATATCTTTTTATTAATTATCTCCATCAATTGGATACCTTCGTATCAGTACAATTCATTTTAACCAGCTATGTTAAAATTATGCACATCTGCAAATCAGTATTAAAATATTACAATTTCATATTTTACAGTATTCGTCCTCTAGCTCCCTCTAAAACAGGTTTTATTTTTGCTTATGTAATCACACAATTATCCATTATATGACAATGTGCAGGGGAGATGAAAAGCTTTATGTCAAAAAGTAGTGGTTACCTGCTGAGCCAAATCAAGGTGCAAGTCAGTCTGACTGTAACAAAGCCTCTTGTATATTCGATTTGCATACCAATTCTTGGCCACGAAATTCACATCTGCATTACCTAGCCGGTTTTGTTTGGTATGCTTCTTACACAGTTGGCTCTAATCTCAATTATTAAGATCTGTACATACTAAGATCTAGGAATGTTAATATTACAAGAAACCACAATAATTTATTATAATACAGCCTGCTGTACACCAGATGACTCGAGGCAGTACAAGACACGCCCTATCTTACTTTCTTAAACAATGAACGGAATCACATGATTCTGAAAGGATTTAAACGTATTTCCTTTATTGGAAAAATGAATATGAGAGGGAGGATGACGATGGTAAGGGCAGGGACTACTTCAATTAGATAAAAAAAATCAAAATACATTTCTCGTTTGGTATGTCTTTGAAGACTGTCAATTGATTGCAATAAGAACAAAAAGTCATCATTACTTTAGATCATTCTAAAAAAAGATTGAGATTATAAAGATTATTAAGACAATATAGATACAAATTTATGATTAGTTTCATAACAGAAATCATATAGATCCGATCATCAAAAATCTTATGAACGAAAATTATATTCAATTTATGTAATTATATAGGACTTCGAAATATACCACTGATCCTTGGCTGGGTTGTTGTAACCCAATAATATTGTAACCTAATATTTTCTTTTTGATTTCAAAAAGTTATCAATGAGAGATATTTGTTTCGATTCCAATTACTTATAAGCTATATAAGGCTCAATCTCCTGGTTTAGAATACATTGTTAGTGGAAACTATCACATGTTGACGCAGATGTAGAATCGAAATTGCATTTAAAATATACTTATCCTAATACTTACAACTATACGACACGTACTTAAATCAATTACATTCAT